TTGATGGACTCCTGTCTCACATTTAGGTCTTTCAACCATTTTGAGTCTATTTTTGTGTGTGGTGTAAGGAAATGGTCCAGTTTCATTGTTCTGCATGTGGCTGTCCAATTTTCCCAACACCATTTGTTGAAAAGGCTGTCTTTTTTCCATTGGACATACTTTCCTGCTTTGTCAAAGATGAATTGACCATAGAGTTGAGGGTCCATTCCTGGGCTCTCTATTCTGTTCCGTTGATCAATGTGTCTGTTTTTATGCCAGTACCATAGTGTCTCAATGATTACAGCTTTCTAATAGAGCTTGAAGTCTGGAATTGTGATGCCACCAGCTTTGCTTTTCTTTTTCAATATTCCTCTGGCTCTTCGGGGTCTTTTCTGGTTCCATACAAATTTTAGGATTATTTGTTCCATTTCTTTGATGTCATTCCCTTCTAAAAATCCTTTTGAGGCCCAGGGAAAGTCCAGGCTCTTTAACATATCCCACAGGATCATCCCTGGAGTGACCACTGCCTACCTCTCTCTAGCCTCATGTCTCTTCACTCCATACCATGAGCTTCTTTAGCAGTACTCTTCTGTGCCCACAGTATTCTCCTTTGCGTCTCTATGACTTTAGTCAGGCTGCCATCTCAGCATAGAATACTCTCTCCCATTATCTCCTATTTAGATCACTGTTATGTATTCTTTAAGACTTAAGTTTAGGGGGCACCTGGGTGGCTTGGTCAGTTAAGCATCTGATTTTGGTTCAGGTCATGATCTTGGGGTCCTGAGATCGAGCCCCATGTTGGGCTCTGCGCTTAGTGGGGAGGCTGCTTCTCCCTTTCCCTCTCCCTCTGCCCCTACCCTTGCCCCCACCCCTTTCATGCGTGCAGGCATGCTCTCTCTCAAATAAATAAAATCTTAAAAAAAAAAAAAAAAAGACTAAGTTTAGGAAGCCTTTCCAGAGATCCATATGGTAGGTTAGGTATCTCCTTTTAATTATAGTACTACTCTGTGCATATACTTATTAGTCAACTTAAGTGTTTTGTAATTGTCTGCTTATGTATCTTCCTTACCAAACCATCAAT